GCGGCCACCACAGAAATTGGCGCCTACCTCGGGGCCTGGGGGTTTTGGGCAGCATTTTAGAGGGGTTTCGATGTGGAGGGTTGGGGCAATGGAACGGGCACGAAAAGCCACCAATCTCGGTAATGGGGCTGGTTGGAGAAGAAGAGAGCGGGATGTCGGGTTGGGCATAGTAATACCCCGGAAAAGCCACTTCTTCGATGGCTAGCGTAAATGGGACCGGATCGTTGCGGAACGGCTATATTGCGGAATTAGCGAAGGTCGCGCACCGGTGGTAGCCTGATTTTTGGTTCTTTCGCATTATCGGGGGGACCAAAATTTTTCTTAGGATGTAATTTTTTAAACATAAATCCCGAATTTTCAACAATTGATTGATTTGGCCTCCAATTTTTACGGAGAATCTATGCTGAAAAAGCCAGCCCTTTTCGAAAGTATCCATGGAGACACAGCCAGTTTTATCCCCCCGATTTTTACGGCCCCGCGCTAAACAGCCGGCCATTTTTCGCCCGCCAAAGACTCGCTGCCCGGTGGGGGGCAAAATTGTATTCGGCGGATGATGGAGAGATGAAGAGGGGGAAGAAGAGTGGCCGAGTCGCGAGTCCTCCGTCAGGGGATAATTGAATTATGCTTCTTCCCCTTCGCGGGGCCGGCTTTGTCCCCCTGGGCTTCTGCGGAGCGCCGGGTTTTTGGCACGCCGCAAAGCCCGACCGGGCCGTCATTTCGGGAATTAACGGGTTTTTGTAACAAGAATGCACCTCGTGTAGGCTCTTTCAGGATAGAAACGAGCTGATAACGGTTCTGAATACAAAACCCGGAGCTTTCGCAATACCGGGGGCGGGGAGACGCAACGTTTCCCTATAGGTCTAGAACTAACTTAATAGTTTTAGCAACATTCACTATTTTTAAAGTGGAAAACAGTCAAAGGACCTACAAAACAAATTTTTTAGTAAAAATTTTGGTCGAAATCGGCCATTTTTGCCCGAAAATCGAATTTTTTGCAATTTTCGCTGAAACTTAGGGTCATGTTTTTACGTTTAGGAATGCGAAAATTTTTTAGAAACACTTCCGCTATTTATATCAGAAAAAATGGATCATAAGAAAATGTTGGTTCCCTCCCTATATATCCCTATATTGCGAAAGAACCCAAAACCCGGCTCCATTCATATGATTCTGCAAGGCGTAAAAATCGTCTCAGGTTCCTAGTTTGTCTAGTCCTTCCATTCCCTAAAAGAACGTACGATTCCGGGGGAGGCCCACATTTTTGCGAGGCCCCTCCTCACGAGCCGATGGTGGCTAATAAGGTGCTGAAGAGGGTGTGGATGGATTGGGGGGACCCTCTAGGGTGCGAGGCCCGTGGGCTCGCATTACGGCCCAAAAGAGGGACCCTTACGCCCCCCACCGAAAAGGGTGTTGCTTTTTGCGCGCACTGAAAAGGAGGAGGGCCACACACGTAAGTGGCAATGTTGGCCCTCGAAATGGGGTGTTGAGCACGATACCCCAGACGGGGTCTCTCCAGGCCGGCGCAAACTATTGCATTATCCCCGCCGATCCACCCATTTCTTCGCGCCTATCGGGTTGCTTACAACGTGCACGCTCTCGAGCTTCAACTGGGGAACAGGGCTCACGCAAAAAGTGGCGTTTTAGAAGAGCCTCAAAACCCTAGAAAGTCCTGCTTGTTTTTTTTAATGGGGAAAAACTCTTATCAAAAAATTACTATTTTACGAGAGCCTGACGACTGTAGAAAAATCCTGCTTATTAGTTTAATTTGTATAAACAATGTAACAATCACGTTTTTATCGAGAAAAGGTCTTATGCAACCAGTAGTGCTTGCAAGAAGTTGACCACTCTAAGAAGGCCGCCTTTTTTAGGTACTAAAATTTACATCAACACGCTAAAAAAATAAATTTTATTTTCACACCCCTCGCCGCCGATTTTCCCATAAAAAGACCGGCACGCAAAAAAAGAAATTGGGTACCCTCGGGGGACGCAATCAACGCCCGGAATCGGCGCCCCCATCACCACCATCTATGGCCGGGTGAAGCGGTGCCATTTGGCGATTGCCACCTTTTCAGAGGGCAACCACACCTCGCCCCGATTCTCACATAAATCCCCACGGGGTGGACAATAGAAGAAAGAGAGGAAGGTTCTTCGTTCCCCCATATATATCCAGCCTCACTTAGTCATCGCCACGGCCCAAAGAGGTACTGCATATTTTGTGGGCTGGCTGGGCCGGGGCTAAAGGCCAATGGAAGGGGTGGCGGGTAATGCGCGCGGTGTGGGGAATAGGCAATGAGGGCAGGCAGCCGCGTGGGAATCCGATCCCACATTGGCCGCCTCGTATCTCACTCAAATTTGCATTTTACGTGTTTTTGTTTGGGGGTGGATGCCGACATGGGTGTACGAAAGCGTTGCAAGTTGCAAAAAATAAAATACATAAGCAGCCTAAGGAAAATGCGATCAGAAATTTCATGTCAATTTGAAAGAAACTACCCGGCCCAAATTCTATGCTATTTCAAATGGGCCATCTTGAATATGGGTTTTTGTGCTGTTAAAAAGCATAAGTACAAAATTTTTTCCGGCTTCCTACGCTCAATTATAGCCTATCGAAACGAATTTAGGGTTTCAGGCGCAAGGGTAGACATGTAAACAATCGAAATGGAGGGATTAATGAAGCCGGATGACCCCAAAATCTACGACAAAATTGACGAATTCTAGGAATTTTTCAGAACAAAAACGCCACAATCTGATAAAAATTGAGAAATCGAATCCTAAGTTTCCTAAGCCAGACCCCGGCTTAAGCCATATCTGCCGTCGCCTCCCCAAAATGAAAGATGTCTATCATATGGGCCACTGTCGGCCCACCGGACCCAATTAATCCGGAACCCCGCAATCGACACATCATCCCCACCCCGTCAACCCAATCCTCAGCCTCCCAGTTAGTATCAATATACTTGAGAACATTTGCAGCGCCCCCGGCCATCTTCCACCCACCAAACTCCCCCCAACACTATACATATATCAGTTATGGCCTAGGGGCTCGTCTATTCTGCGGGGTGTCACTTTGTCACCTTGTCACAGTCCAGTAACAAACATACTATCTTATCAGGCAAACGGAAAATTGGTAAGAATGCAACAAAAAAATCAACTGAACTTGGGTCTAGAATTATGGACGCCATACCGGATTGTTAGAATTTTACTAAATTTCCAGTTAGTTTGTTAGTTCCTAAAAATATTTTGGTCGAAAATTCTATATTTTTCCGTCATTAATCAAAACTTGTAAAATCTTTGCTTTTAGGAATAGTCAAAAACGTTTAGAAACATCCGCTTTGAAATTTTATACTAAAGCCAAATCCCCCCAATAGTGTGAAAGAATCAACACTTCATCTGCTTATGGACATAACTCGTTTTCGCGATCGTACCCATTTACCTAAATCTCCCAACAATCGCCAACTTCAAAACCGTGCGCTATTTGCAGGGGGGGATGGCTGACCTTCACCCCGCCATCGCCTACTTTCTTATGCAAATTCGGCAATATGAATGAAAGTTGATCTGAGATTAGGCTGTGAGCAAGAGATCCCCCTCGGGTCTACTTCATCCCTCAAAGTTCCCCCTCCACTTCACATTCAGCCATTGACATGAATATGTAATGAAAGAGGGTGGCTCGGATTGCGCGCGCGCGAAGGGGCAAAGGATGCGACACACAGGATGTGGATAATTGGGAGCAGGAGGAGGAGAGTCGAGGGGTACAAGTACGAAGCCATCCCTTCAAGTAAAGCCGGGGGATAACGGAAAGGTATAGGCGAAAAACTCACAATTCATTCGAGCCGCTCCACTCCACCACATTTTCGGGAGCAACAGCCGCGCTGATGACGACGGGCAAAAAGCCGACGCTCAGCAAAATTGTGAAAAGGGCACCGGGGTCGAAAGTCGGTAGTAGCGGATGTATCATCTAAAATTAAATTGGATTTTCCTAAATAAAGGAGGATTTGTTTTCCAAAAAAGTGTTTTTTGGCTGAAATCATCAAAAAGCAAAGAATTAAAGCGAACTGTTGTATACTGGATGGAACTAGGTGCAGCATGAAGGGATTTAGGTACTTATCAAGTTGGGGGCCACTTTGGGACCAAGGAGACACACGCTCGAGTCCTGGGGAGTTAGCTGAATCGAGGCGCAACAGCATGTCAAACCGTTGGGTTTATCCAGAAAACAGCGTAAATTTATTAATAAAAGTGGAATGCACAATTGGGCATGCCGCATCGTCAGGCAAGGCCCTCGCCGGATGGCTCCGCTCCCCCAAAATCGGCGCCGCGCTCGCCCCGGGCCCCGATTCGAACCCACGAGCTCCACCCATCCGACGACAGGCCCGGTGGCACGAAGCCTTATTTTTAGGCTCAAACTGGGAGCTGAACTCTAACTCTTAACAAACGTTTAGATAATGATTTTACTACTCTGATTTTGTATATTCGACCAGCAACTAGCCTAGAGACTCAAAGTCGACCAAAGTGCCCCAACTGATAAGACCGGGATTTAAATAAGCTGCCAAAAGGTCTCACAAAGTCTCGATGACTGAGATGGAAAGGGGAGGAAGGGGCGGGCAAACGGTCAGTCCACGGGAGGTGGAGGAGGCACCCTTCCAGTATTAGTCCCGCCCACTTTCCTACAAACCACCACCTCCCCCTACTCCTCTCCATTCCCCCCCCCCCATAAACAAAAATTGTGCGCTGAAACACGAGTCCCACCAATTGCCAGCCCAATCTGCCCGCCCCTTTAATTGCATTATTTGGATGCTTGCAAAATCACTGTCAAGGATAAAAAAAATATTTATTGACTTTCAACGACAAAAAGGGGTGAACCCGACCCATTTAAGAAGGCGCATATAAATTATCGTTCTTGGAAACAACGGGTTGGTGTGCCGAGATCACAAGCTACAGCCGAGGCAAAAAAAGAATTGATAACATCGGTATCGTTCACAGGGAAAGGGAAGTGACAGACATTCGAACATTTAGAAGACGTATTTGAGATAAGGGATGTCCACATCTTCCCCATCGCCGTCTTCCCCCATCACCTAGAAAAGGTATACTTTAGCGAGTAACGAATTCTTAATCGGAGCGAGCCGGTGAAAAAAACTCAATTTTCGGCGGCGGGTCACTGGGGAATTCTTCCAATGCTACCCCACTGCCACGGATACTTGTCGAAAATACTCCGCAAACCCAAAAGTCCTGAAAAATTACCTCCAGCACCAGTGAATGAGCATACGGAGGGATTTCTTTCTTCGAAACCTCGGCAACAACGTCCCGGAGCCTAAAAACACAATTTCCAAAAAATTCAACCTAATGCTTACTCCATTGGCATGCGCTTCGTGCGATTCTGTGCATTCATAAAGAAGGAATAGATAAGCGACACGCCTGAAGAGACCATCGTCACATTGTCCACGCCAGTTTTGTTCTAAAGGAGAGATAAAGAAGCGGAACGGTAGTCTACCTTAACCCATTCGATAACCTGCTCCAACGACATTGGCGCCGGCACTTCTAGGCAATCCCATTGGGTCCAGGAGACGCTTCCGTATTTCTTCTCTTCCGCCTTGATAGGATCGGAAAAGCCGAAGAACGGCAAAGCCAAGTTGATGAAGCCGTTGCGGAAGTTCTCAAGTGGGGTGCTAGGCAGCTTATTGCCGACGTCGATCATCTGGAAACAACGATGAAATGAATCTTGGTCTGCAGCTGACTAAGAAAATGAGGGGATCCCAACGCTACCTTGAACAACTCGATGCATACAAGGCCAGCCACAGCAGCCGTCGTTGTAGCCAACGCTGGGATGATGCGACCAGCAATCTGCTTCGTCTTGAGAACATCGGCTGGCTGGATGTCGTAGTTTGCAGCTCGCAAGTTGCTGCAGGCGGTGATGAACTCCATGTGATGGTTGGTGTCGTCGTCTTTCTCAAAGTCGATCGGCTGCAACTTTTTCGTGGCAGCCGGATCAATCTTGGCGAGCTTCGTCTTGAGCTGAACTTCCGCCTGTTCACTATCTAAAAAAACAGAAAGGTTAGCGAAGCTTTTGAGCTACCAGCATCAACACGCTCGTTCATCTCTTTGGCTTCGGCATCCGTGACGGCGATCTTGACTCCTTGCTTGGCCACGAATGGCTTCACAGTCACAGAGGAAGCAATCTTGGCCACCGTTTCCCTGAGCTTACGTTTTAAACGTAAAGAAAAGTTTACTGGTCCAAAATCGGCTTCATGTTGTATTGCTCGGCGCGGAGGATCGACGCGGCATAAACGAAGTGGAAGTGCTCGGGCTAAACAACATAAAAATTGTCAAGAATTCGCGAGGGAAACCTGTGAAACATCAAAGGTCAGTGCGTGCGGGCAGCGCTTGGTACCACTCCAGAATTTAGCTCCCCTGATCGGTCATCATATTCGGAGGGAACATGTGAAGCATTTGAGCAATGGTATCGTGGAAATTCGCCTAAAGATATGAAATACCGGAATCCGAAAATTTAGATCACCTGGAAGAGAGTCCTCGCCCAGACGACACAATCCTCGGGAGATTCAGGCTTGTCCGTGGCCAGCGCATTCGCCACAGCCTCCAACATCTCAAGCTTTTGGTTGTGGGCCAACGTTTCGAGGTGCTTCATGAATTCGATACCGTCCTCCAAAAAGCGGTTGGCATTCTCGGACGGCTGGGAGAAGAGCGCTGAACGAGAATTTCTGGAACAACAAAATTCAACTTACTTTCAAATTGGTCCCGGGCCCACTGGATGGTATGTTGAATTTCGTTGGGGAAGTTCTTCAGTGTGCAAATCGGGATGTCCTTCTCCGGAGGGTCTTGCGAGCTCCTAAAGAATAAACTAACTGCGGCAGTGAAATAACTCACGAGTAGCTTTCAGTGAGATATGGGTAGACGACTTGGATATTGCCCTTGGTGCCCAGAGTGCCAGATTCAAGCAACGGCAGTCGGTAGAAGAGACAGCGACGATCCATGTAACGGCGAGCGTCGACATTGTCCAGCGCGTTCAGGACACCATTTAGATTGCTGAAGAACTCGTCGGTGAAGATTCCTTCAGTGTCGGCTCCAACACGCTCAGCCATAGCCTAAACAAAATAATATTGAAGTGATTGGAATTTGGGTAAGCTTGCAAATTGAACAAATTTACCTCAATTTTGAGTTCAGGGTTGAATTGCTTGACAGCACGAGCAGCTACTTCGGACTTCTTTTGCTAAAAAAATAGGATATTAGTAAAGTAACTCTTCTTACCCCAACATCCGGACGCCTGAACAGGAACTGTCGATTGAGGTTGCTGATCTCGATTTGGTCCATGTCGGTGATCTTCAGCAAACCATCGCTACCGCAAGCCACACCCATCATTGCAAGATTCTTCAGCAGCTCGCATCCAATTGCGCCGGAACCGACGATGAACCTAAGATTAAAATAGTTATGACGTCGAAACCACCAAAACATTTTCTCGCCAATTAATTTAGCGGCGGTCATGATTTGGTCTTGTGCAGCTGCTTTTGGCCATAGTGTTGTCGTGGCGGCCGGCAAATCCAATTTTCCTCGCGATAAGTATTTAAGCGGAGGATTGACCAGCACCTGTCATTCCTCCTTACCCGCTTCCACAGCTAGTTTCCTTGCCTAATGAACAACCCAAAGCTAGAACTCAACCACGTAACTGACAATCCGCAGAACTTTTATACAGGCCAAAATGTTGGTAATCCTGAACCACTAACAAACCAACTTGGTGGCTATGATAACACGAACATTTCCACAATTCCTAAAGACTTTACTCCGACAACCCTCAGCCTAAGTATCGTGCTATCTTTATTTGTCCTTATTTCTCTGAGCTACAACGTATTATTTTTTGCGATCCTATATCGGAAAAGGAGGACGCTCAAGGTAAGCACTTTCGATAATAGTAACGCGTCTTTAGTTCCCATTCTACAAAATCGTCTGGCAAGTGGTGTCTTGTAATGTAGTCTACGGGCTAGTCCAAACAATGCTGACAATCCCATACCTATTTGCAAAAGATGCGATGTACGGTACTTATACGGAAGCTGTAAACATGATCTGCGACTGGTGGATGGGCACCGAAATGCTACTACAATATGCGACCCTTTGTTTCGTGATGACAATAGCAGTGAATCGCTTTTGCATCTTTGCTAGCGACAAAGCGTCACAGCTCTTCTTCAACGGGTTTTGTTAAAAATTTTTGTGACAAAGCGGCGTCTAGGAGATCAATCTATTTCACTATCGCGGTCGGGTGGTTTATTAGCAGTATCCCAGTGATATTTGCCGCATTGATGCGGTGCTCACGGGAATACGGTAGGACAGGTGCTATCCCTAATAGAAAAGACCTAGATGCTGACCATGGCATGTACTCTGACGTGTGCTACGTGAATATGGCTTCATCTGTGGTCGGAGCTTATCAGGTACCCGGCATTATAAACGAAATGCAGCCTTGCTAGATCCTGATGCTAACTTTTGAATGTACTCCCTTCATAACTATCCTCCTATACATCGGATTGTACTTTACTATCGTACGCCAACGACAACAAAGCCCCATCGCAAAAACGGAAACTGGAAAAATTCCCCTTGAGACCAAATTGTTACATCAAGCTATCTTTATCAATGGGATCTACCTGGTAGGATTAGAACATTATAACAGCAAAAGACAGCTGGTTTAGATCTACACGGCAGTTATTTTCGCTCAGACACATATAGTGGTCGACGGTCAAACTGCGTACACTATGTATATAATTGGCAAAATCACCGCAAATTTCTACACGTTATCTTTTCCTGTAGTGTTCTTGATAACTAGCAACGAGATACGAAATGAGGTAGAATCCCAAGCTAAAGTAATAAATAGTGCTTAGGCGCATAAACTACTTCCGGCATCGCTACATATGTTGGTCTACCAACAACCGAGAAAGTGCAGCCTCACAATGGTCAGTCCGACTGCTTCGACTAAAAACAGCCAAGGAAGCCGACCAAGCACGATGGAGAAAAGTCTTACAAAAACCACCCGCGACTCATCCCAGTGATAATAATAAATAGAAATGTACCATCTCTGGTTGGCGAGCTCCTCTTGGTACTTCCATCCGAACACAGCAGCCTGCGAGTCGTAACGGCTATTCCGCGGGGCACAGTCCGAAGCTGTCAGCTTCGCATTGTCGAGACCGCTCCATGAGCCAGGAAGAGCCTCAGTGTGATGGAAGTAGACAAACTAAACAGAAGCTTCCACATATTCAAACAGTAACACAAACCTGCTTGAGTGGGGTAGTGTGATGGGTGACCGCCTTCATCGCCTCCTGAGCAGCAACACCTCCAACGACCGAGCAAACGTTGACAAGCAGTCCGGTTGCTTGGTATGAGAATGCCTTCAGAAGGGCCTCATCCACCTCCGCACCAGCAGGAAGCTCTGCTTTTAGTAGCGCCGCATCGTTGTCACATCGCGGAGCGGGCGAACGGCCGTGCTGCAAATATGGACAATGAAGAAAAGATATCGATGGTACCTTGGCTTCAAAGGCATACAGCGCCTGGAAGAGGGCGTGAAGTTGTTGAGGGTAGTCCCATTTTGCGAAATCCCAATGGACTATATCCGGCTTCTCAAGTGCTTCCGGGAGTGACAGAAAGTCGACATAAGTAGCGACTTTGACTTGGCGGCAGCGTCCTCCGTCCGTGTGTTCACCGAAATCAGCCGGCAGCTTTCCAATCGTAAAGGTTTTCGAATCTAAAGAAGGGTCAACTGAACGCCGAAAATGGACGGCGTACTTTTCACGGTGACTTTGAATGGAGGAGCGTCGTTGATTTTCGGCATGCCTTTCACTTCGCTAAAGCAGATGTTGTTCGAATATCCAATTTAACATGCCTAAAAGCCACATGATCGCCATCTTCCAATCCGTGCATTGTCTCAAGCCCAGTCACATCACCGCTCTCATGATCGATGTGCTCCACAAGGAACTAGAAAAAGTACAATATAGGGGCAACTAACAAATGGCAACTTCTCGGCACTGCTCCCCATTGGTATCGTCGATTCGGAACTGCTTTCCAAAATCCGCAAAGATATAGCTGGAGATACACGTATGGGTGGAGTTTATAAAAAAACCTGAATAGACCGCGGGAGTCGGCAACCAAAAGCTTCTTATTGGATTCACGGACCCATTTGGAGACTTCTAGCTGCTCTTGGAGTGGTGTGTCGGTCAAAACAATAAGCTAAAAACAAGATACAGCAGAATGCGGGTACCAACATCGAATTCAGCGATAAATTCCTTGCTCAGCGGCTGCTTGTTGAATGCACATGTGACGCTGTCGTTGAGTTCAGCCAACCTGCAAACGACATGAATTTGTCACGCAAAAAAACGCGTACCTTTCAAAAGAAGCCTCCGCACGATTGTTGCCCAAATCGGTCTCCCGAAGATAATACTGTGCCGAAAGGTCTCGCCAAGTGGTCGGCTTGACATCATGGATCGTAACGTGGCGCACACCACCAAGAATAAGATTCTAGGGAGATAAAATTAGAAAATCGCGACGCCCACCTTAGCGATTTCAACTCCGACACCGCCGAGACCAGAAATCAACACGGAGCTTTTGCGCAGGTGCATCATAGCCGATTCACCGAGTGCATAACTAAAACAAATTTGGGGTGCCGGCGGGGGTCTCGGTTCCGCGGGGAGGGGTGGTCCCCCCCCCCCCCCCGGGGGGCCCCCCCCCCCCTGTGCTTTTTGGGGGGGGGGCTTTAAGCCACTCGGAAATCCTCACATCTGACGGCTGTACAAGTTGGTGTCCACGTCACCCATGTTCCTCGTGAAACCGTTGGCCCCATTGGTGGTAGACTCAGAAACATCCATTTTCTCATCATTCCCTCCGGACATCTTGAAGCTTGTTTCCTAAAAATCGACGTTAAAGCGCTTAAATCGATGAATTATGACGTAAAATGTGCAGGAGAAATGCTGACAATTCCTTGCGTAAGAGCCACGATATTGAGATAGTGGGGACAGGAGAGAGACGCAGCGCAAGCGCGAATAGGGGCATGGCCAAACACAGACGGGGTGATGGAAATATTTCTCCCGGGGACGTACCAGATGACAGACCGCCTGTTTCACTTCGTCAATGATAAATGACCGATACATGCAATAAAAGCAGATGTAGTGTGAAAATCAATGCTGGAAAGGGGCGGATCAAATCGGAAACCGAGCGAGAAAAAAACTGTTAGCATTAGAAAGACTTTTGGAGTAACAGTGAAGTTGATAAGAAGGGATAGATTAAATTGAGATGTTGTTTGGTGTCGAAAAAAGGCGGAGCTAGCCAAAGAACCAACAAGGAACTTTGCACGTCGCGTGCACAGCACTCACCTTATGGCCGCTAAGCTCGACGATGCGTGCACGTTTATTTGGAGGAGAAGCGGACAGCTCAACTTGCTTGTTCGTCAGCACCGAACTCATCTAACAGCTCAAAGTAAATTAATCCTTTTTATCAAACCGGGCTTACCGGGGTTTTGGGGGATCCAAACGTTGAAGAGCGATCCGGAGAATGCCCAAAAACGCTTGTACCTAAAAATACATACATGAAAAATGTGAAGTTTTATAGGGATAGTAAATAGAATAAGTAAAATATAGCGATCAAGGTAAGAATAAGTATTGAAGGGAGATTTTGGCAAGAAAATAGGGTCAATAAGATTTGAAAATTTGAGCCCTCTCAGGGATGAAAGAATTTGGGAACTTTAGAGTGAATTTTTGAAGGCAGATGCATAAGACGGATATCTGGCTCCACAAAAAAAATAGAAATGACGGCAATTGACCCAAAGTGAGCTGTGGTACATCATACCGTCCATTGGAGCATCGTGTACACTCCGTTCCGATCCAAAGAACAATATTTTAGCGGGTTACTGTCGGTAATGGGCGAAATTTCAAAATTTAGTTATTTCGCAATTTTGGATCACACATATTCGATTTCTTCTAATAAGTCCTCAAAGATGGCTTTTAGGCGGACGGCTTTAGGGATTTACGTCGATTTTCGAATTAATCTAAAACAGCCACTTCCCTGCTGACTTTCTGATGACCCTCAAAAAATTTAAAATTAAAGAACAGTGGCTCCTCCGGCAAACCAGTGTTCTTTCTATTCTACCATTTGTAGGCTACATTAGCTATAACGAGTTTAAAACGGGAAAAACGTTTTGAAAGAAGGACTTTTCGGGAAGACACTGCGTCTCTGGCGTGGGCACCCAGCACTGGGTTGCCTAGCGCCCTCTTACACCGAACCCACTCTCATGTTCATTCCTGTCGTTGCCGGCTTTTCGAATATTTTTTAACTTTCAGCATTGCATTTTATGGCGAGAAAAACTCCAAAAGGAAAACCCAGGAACCCTCCGACAAAGAAAGCCACCAAGACGATCAACAAGAAGCGGATGGCTGTCAACTACAAGACCGTTCGGCTTCGCGAGGATCCTCAACTCGACATCGATTTTAGGATGGTAGCTGCCATTTCCTAACTATTAACTTCTTTTCTAGGGCGATGTTTTTGATGACGTTGCGGACGCTTTGGTCGTCACTTCCAATAGGGAGGGCCTCATCAATCGAACCGTCCACAACAAGTTACATGCTTTATATGGCACTGGCACTGTAAAGGTACGCCTCCGTGGTTGCTCAAATCAGATTTAGGCGGCATTTTTGAACGCGTTTTCGGGAAAGGTGCGACCTGGAGACGTCTATTCGCTCAATCTCACAGCTGATGGCACGACCACCCCCTACAAATATCTCATTCTTGCTGTTGAACCTAACCCGGGCCACATAGCGGTAATTTTTAAAAGGTTTCGATTGTTTGAAAATTTGACCCTTTTACTCTCAAATTTTTAGAAATGCTATGAGGCCTTGATGGACAAATTGGAAGCCCTACACATCGATTCAGTGACGGTCACTGGCCTTGGATGTGGTAATTTACCTCTAATTTCTTACCGATTCTCTAGGAGCCATGAATGTTTCGGCAGATGATTCGGCCAAGCACCTGTCTAATGCGATCCAGGCCCGGATCGATACGGGCAGATTGGCCAAGCTGAAAGTAGGGCAATCTGGAACTTTGAGAAAACTCTTTTTAGAACCTCATTGTCTGCGACATGATCGAGCACATCGTCAAGAAGTTTGCGCAGGCATTTTCTAACGGTTGGGATTCCCCTATGAACGCTCATGATTACTTAGACAGCGAGAGCACATCGACTGATGACACGGATAATGCTGATTTCACCTACGATGTGGATCCGAGCAAGGTGAAAGATCTTTCTGGTAGATGATCAAAAATTTTAGTTGACCGACGATCCATGCCCAATTTGTTTGATGGAATTGAACACTGAGGGGCTGACGGTCGTGGCTTTGAAGATTTGCCATCACATGTTCCACAAGGAGTGCTTCACAGTTGGTCGTTCGGGATGTTTTATATCTTTGTTTAGCAACTCGTCAATAACTCTGGTCCGAAGCGTTGCCCTAACTGCACGCTTTTCTTTTCGTTTCCGAAGGGTGATATGCCATCAAACGCAACGATGTCCTGCAACCTGGTATCCATTATATCAATACGCCAAAACTATTTTTTCCAGCATCGTGATAAGAAGGTTAAACTTGAGGGAGGCGTTGGCTACTATGAAATTGTTTACGATGTTCCGAGCGGAATCCAAGGGGTTGGTTTGGTGTTCACAACCTAATCTAACGTCGAATTACAGCCGATGCACCTTCGACCCGGTTTGCCCTACCGCGGAACTACTCGCTATGCCTACTTACCGAACACCGAAGCTGGTGCCAAAGTATGTTACTGCATTTTTCCCATTATTGGCTGAATTCAGGTGCTAAAGCTGTTGAAGAAAGCGTTCGAATGTCGCCTCACGTTTACGATTGGTGACTCAATAACCACTGGCGCTCAAAACGTCGTTGTATGGAACAACATTCACCACAAGACAAGCCTTCACGGCGGCGCCACTTCGTAATTTGCCACATGTTATTTATATTTTGTTTAGCTACGGTTACCCCGATGCCGATTATCTCGATCGCGTCACCGAGGAGCTGAAGAACGCCGGTATTACCGAAGAAATGATTGAGTAAACTGTTTATTGAAAGTAGTACTGACTGTGATTCTCCAATTACGTGTGCACTCCCTGGTCTCAAATACTCATAAGAAATACTGGTTTACGTGATCTCTTAATATGCCTTTTCCGGGAACTGGTAAGGCTACGAATAAACTTTTATAAAGGCGAAGAGGAGATTTATTACGGTTTCTAGCCACTTTTATCGACGTGGTTTTATCGATTCGTGGATTCGTACTATTTATTTTTAATAGAGAGTTGCTTTATGAGCACTCCGGCTGGGACGACCGTTCCAGGAAAAAGCGACTGCATAAAGACTGTCAACCGGCTCTATTCTGAGCTCTTCCTCTTCATCAATTCGTGAGCAATTTTGACCAATTCAGGTTATCCGCTTTTTAGATTTGATCGCGGGAATATCACCGAGAACGTCAACAGACTGAAACAGATTGAACAAGCGTGTGAACAACTAAAGGAGACGATCCGGCAAATCCCAGGAATTGATAGCGAAGAAGACGAACAGACTACGAAGATCCGATCACTCTACAAGCAGGTAGCCAGCATCGGTTTTGCTCAAGGAGGTTTTTAGATTCATTTGAAGGACAAACTGATTGATTCGTTTTCGGAAAGAACCCAAAAGCGAGAATAATGGTAAGACATAACGTCATTTCAACCGTATCGTTTAGGAGCCCGGCGACAAATTGAATCAAAAAGTTCACTGTTCCTATTGCAACAGCATCGTGTTGCTGCAGAACTTGGCTTTTTGGGACCCTGGTAAGCGTTACCATCTATGACTGAAAAATGGTTCTGGTTCAGTGTCCTTCGAATTGCCGATGGCTCAACAACGTAAGGATCGTCAGGAACAAGAAGTGGACAAGGAGACATTGGAAGGATTTTGGGCGGTTAAGAATATGATGGACTTTGAGAACGTCGGATTTACTCATGCAGTCGGCGGGGTAAGAAAATTTTGTTCTCAAACATCAAATGGTGTTTTTCAGTACAAATACCTCACATGTGCCGAATGCGAATATGGACCGATTGGATTTGTATGCAAGGAGACGGGTCTCAATTTGATCGCCCCCTCGCGTGTAAAAATTTCTGCAGAATGATCCTCATCTGTTTATCGGATAAATGAATTCATTACGAGGTTTTGCTATGAAGACTAGTTTTATCAACTAGACATACTTGTGGTGTTGCTGTTGAAGCTAATCTCATCTTCCAGGCAGACGTGTAAAAAAAGATGGCAGCTAGCGAGGAGAAAGAATTGCCGGTGGTAAGTGAACAATTGTTTACGCCAATGGTTGTATAGGCTTTGGGTTCCACGGTTGAGCAGCCTCTTGATTTGATTCGACTCAGTCTGGACGAGAAGGTGTATGTAAAAATGAGGAACGAACGAGAGGTAATGATTGTTCGTAACCTGAATATTGAATTTAGATCCGTGGGAAACTACACGCATTCGACCAACATTTGAACATGATCCTCTCCAATGTAAGAGCCATTTTGACTTAACTTTTTTTTTGTTTTAGGTCGAAGAGACTGTCACGACGGTTGAGCTCGACGAAGAGTCTTTTGAGGAAATCTACAGACAAACCAAGCGGACATTGCCGATGTTGTTTGTCCGCGGCGATGCTGTGATCCTCGTTTCCCCACCAATGAAGGCGTCTTAATTACGATTAACCTTTTCACTTTGCTTTTTTCCGGATGAACGGGAACCAACGTATCTCAAATATATGACGAATAAATGTTTACAGGACCGCAGTTTTAGCACTTTTTTGGTTTCAATCAACTGCTATCTGCGAGGTAATTCCGAGTTGCGTCATTTTGCAGTTAGGCTGTGGGTATTGCGTCAGCATTACAAGAGGCTTGGAAAGCGTAACTAGGCGGAACCGTGGCATTTGCCATTTCCATTTGTAAGAAGACCCCGAAAACTTAGGAACGCTTGGGAAAACTTGCATGCTTCTTTTTATTTTTTTTTTTTCCCCCCCAATTTTTTTTTTTTTTTTTTTTTTTTTTTTTTTTTTTTTTTTTTTTATTTTTTTTTTTTTTTTTTTTTTTTTCTTTTTGTTTGGGTTTTTGGAAAACCCACAAAAAAAACGAAAAAACCTTAAACTTTTTACCCTTTGGGGGGGGGGGGTATTTTCAGTAGTAGTGCGCGTTTGCCCTTCGCTCTGTCCCCGCTAATATGCGCCCAGGCAACCGTGTCTTTTGTGCGGACAGCACATCGCACCTCTAGCTATCGTAATCAGTTTCCTGTATTTTCCCGCCTGTCACTCATCCGCCTTGACAACTTTGCGATTTCTCGATTCTAGGCTCTATTTTCCGCATTCGTGGCCACGCGTCTGAAAACGCCTTATTTTCAGAGCTAGCCACCGCCGGCAGGATCTTCGATGTCTGCTCCACCACCCCCTAGCAAAAAGTGAGCTTTTTCTCTTAGATGTGGGGTTCTTCGATGCCTTGTTTTGGCAGCGCGCTAACTTGAGTTTAGGTAACTCATGTGGGCCAAAGCTGTTCTAACTGGGCGTATGCCTGCGCGGGCCTTATTGCGTTGTGCCAACAGTAATCTGCAATTTTCGGCAATGCGCTCCAAAAAGAGGTAGCGCGCTTTCGTAACCAAGCAAAGCATAAAATACACCAATAATGAAAAAAATTGGGGTTCATCCTTCATTCCAGTGAGCTGAAGCGGCTGCAGAAGCAGGAACGCCTAGAGAGGGAACGCCAGGAGAAGGCTGAGAAGCTGGCGGCTGCGGGAAATGGCCCTGCTGCGAGAGCGGAGAGGGCGGTTGACCCCTCCGATCCAGAAGAGTATTTCCGTATGCGTGTTCGGATGATCGATGACAAAAGGTTGTGTAATTTTTCAATGAACAAATGCATTTTGTAGGGCTGCTGGAGGGAATCCGTTCCCGCATAAGTTCCACGTGTCGATCTCTCTGGTCGAATTCAATGAGAAGTACGCTCACTTGAAGAACGAAGAAGTGCTCGAGGATACTCTTGTCACACTGGCCGGACGCATTTTTTCCAAGCGCGAGGCCGGCTCGAAGCTGATCTTCTATGATGTCCAGGGGGAAGGCACCCATCTCCAGGTCCGTGACGCTTCCGGTTGCCAAGCCTCTTCTTTTAGATTATGGCCAACGCCCGCTTCCATAACATGACCGAGGACTTTGTGGAGACTCATTCCCGCGTCAAGCGCGGAGATATCGTCGGTTTCAAGGGTCATCCTACCCGGAGCAAATCCGGCGAACTTTCCTTGGTTCCAGTGGAGCTTGAGCTTTTGACGCCGTGCTTGCACATGCTCCCTCATACACACTTTGGACTGAAGGACCAAGAGACCCGGTATGCATTAGCGTTTAAATCCACATGTTTTCTTAGATATCGTATGCGGTATCTGGATTTGCTGATGAACCCAGCTGTGAAGAACAAGTTTGTCATCCGCTCAAAAGCCATCACCTTCCTCCGCCGTTATCTCGACAACCTAGGCTTTTTGGAGGTAATTTCTTGAGCCTGTTCTTATAACTGCGTCGAATTATAGGTTGAGACCCCGATGATGAACATGATTGCTGGTGGTGCGACGGCTAAGCCCTTCATCACCCATCACAACGACCTCAATCTTAATCTCTTCTTGCGTGTAGCTCCCGAGCTGTACCACAAGGTTTGTTGGCACCTCCTTCGTTAAATTTCGCTTAGATGCTTGTTGTCGGAGGAATCGATCGGGTGTACGAGATTGGACGGCTTTTCCGAAATGAGGGTATCGATCAGACCCATAATCCGGAGTTCACGTCTTGCGAGTTCTACATGGCCTATGCTGATTATGAAGATGTTATGCGCCTGACGGAAGACTTGCTATCCAGTTAGTCATTGTTGTCGCGATTTTTAATTGCGTCTTTAGAAATGGTTTATCATATCCATGGAAACCACAAGATCGTCTACCATCCGAACGGTCCCAACACGGAGCCCGCGCATGTGGTAAGCTATTTTAAGTAATCGGACGTTTTTTCTAGCTCGACTTTACCCCGCCGTTCCGCCGAGTACATATGTACGCTGGATTGGAGGAGGTGCTCAAGGTGAAACTGCCTCCGGCAGACACGCTGAATACTCCTGGTTGGTCACCTGAGAATTTTAAATTGTAGCTGATGCTCATCTGCTGATAATCATTCTTCAGAAGCCGTTGCTGCGCTCGACAAGATCGCTGTCGACAACAAGGTAGAGTGCCCTGCCCCACGCACGGCCGCACGTCTTCTGGACAAGCTCGTTGGCGAGTTCCTCGAGCCGACGTTCATCAGTCCCACCTTCCTCATCGGCCACCCGCAAATTATGTCGCCGTTGGCCAAGTGGCATCGGTACGAATTTAAAGGTTTCTCTTGAGAGTTAATTTTAGTTCTATCCCTGGTCTGACCGAGCGCTTTGAACTTTTCGCCGCTGAGAAGGAGCTTGCCAACGCCTACACGGAGTTGAACGACCCGCTGCGCCAACGCGCCTGTTTCGAACAGCAAGCCAAGGTATGGGACAGCGGTTAATTATTTAGATTTTTCTGTTTAGGATAAGGATGCCGGGGACGATGAGGCGCAAATGGTTGACGAAAACTTCTGCACGGCCCTGGAGTACGGACTGCCACCGACGGCCGGTTGGGGCATGGGTATCGATCGACTTTCCATGTTCCTCACTGATTCGCATAATATCAAGGTGACTTTAGCTAACGCGTAGAAGCCCCCGTTTTGGCGATATAGATAATCTGCAAAGAATTTAATTACATTGATTTTATTTTCCAGGAGGTGCTCTTCTTCCCGGCGATGCGTCCCGAGGACAGCACCCCAGGCCCAGCTCCCGTCGGCGAGGCCAAGGAGGAGAAGAAATAAGCCCGTCGCTTCCGAAACCACCACCAAATATGGCTTTATTTATCGTTCCCTGTGTGTTGTTGTTTTCCGCGTTTAGACCACAAGTGTTGTTTTCGATTTGTTGTTTCTTGTTCTCTGGATAAACCTTTTTTAACCAAAAGGGCTATTATGCGCCGCGGTGTTTGGGAATATGGGGGTAAGGATCGGCTGGGTGTTGAGGAGGGTTATCAGAGCAGGGCGAATGGTTGTGTTCCCACCCCCGGCTATTGTGCCCGTCGGATCAGCGCCCTCTTTTGTCGGAGGGTGCATCCGGTGGCTGGCGGGGGGGGGCTACTGTATGCCTTTTAGATGTATACTTCGAGGTCAACTCGAGTCGAATCGTTTTGAGCGTATGGTTTGCGAATGAGACAGAAGGAATGGAGAGATCCCGTGTGGTGCCAAATCAAGAATTAAGGGGGGGATATTGAATGGGGACAATCTCGCACGAATTGAGGATTGTGTGAGGTACCTTTAGTGCTAAATTGGTGGTTGACATTATAATTGATTGCATTTTAATAGATTTTAAAATTGCCTTAGTGTCGTCGTGTGTCGCGTTGCCTTAGTCTTTCTGCGTAAACAAGCGTTTTGTCGAAAACGAGAATGTCGACACTCATTTGCCAAAATGTCAGCTAGTCGACAGAACAATAATAACATAGCTATTTTTGGCCGCTAAACAGGAGGATGGATTTTCGTCATTTGAACTTTCGACTAAATGAAATGTCGACAAAGTGAATTTCGACATTCTAGTTTTCGGAATCCTGATAGTAAAAACCTGGCTACCCATCATTACTTCTAAAATAATTACTTCTAAAATCATTACTTCCAAAAGTCACTACTTCTAAAAATCATTACTTCTAAAATCATTACTTCTAAAACCATTGCTTCTAAAGATTATCTAAAGACTTCGAAAATTCTTAGCGTCGAGTTCCGAAAAAATAAGACCAAATTTTCCGAAATACTGATAGTCGACGAACTAAATCTTAAAAGTAATGATTTTAGAAGTAGTGTTTTTAGAATTAATGATCGTCCCCCTAAAAATCTTTCCACTAGCCACCCCCTGGCCTTGTGGAGGATACGGTGAATACCCAGCCTGGCTGCTGGTTGGCCGGGAGGGCGGTGCTCTGTCCGTCTGTCTGTGTATATGTCTGTCTGTGTGTGCCTCTGTCTGTCTGTCTGTTGGTTGTTAAAGGGGGTGGGTCCTGTTGCCCTACCCATCTATCCATCCATCCATCTATCCATCCGAAGTCAGTGGAGGGCGTCGAAGCGGATGGCTGCCCCCGTAGACGCCCCATGGGCCGTCGTCCCCTCATCTGCGTTGGTGGCTGCCGGGCCGTATGGAGCCGCTGCGGGCCCGTATTCAACCCCGTGGCGTTTCTCATTGCCCGTACACGATCATGGCCATACTGGCATCAACCAACTGGGTGGAGTGTTCGTTAATGGACGACCGTTGCCGGATGCTATCCGGAATCGGTACGTTCGTTGGGTGCTTGGGTAATATCGGGGGCTGCGTGGCCTACGAACGTAATACTAAGTATTGTAATAGCTGTTTTTACTGATTACTGAAAACTAGCAAGATTTTTAAGACTGAAACTTTTCGTCGCAAAACGGGACTTTTTATCGGCGAATCGATATTTCTTAGTGAAGATTTAGCTTTTTAGTAAAGTGCTTACGCATAGGAAAAGTAAAAACAACTTAAAAGCACGTCCGCACGCCATTTTGTTAAGGTTTAGCTTTCAGGGCAGCGATTCGTTCAGAATTTATTGCTGAATTTGCTTCGAGCGGTTTTCCGCTGCTTATTTATATAGATTCTCTATTATATCAACGTTATTTTCAGAATTATCGATCTGGCCCATCAGGGCGTTCGACCGTGCGATATCTCGCGACAGCTACGGGTGAGCCACGGCTGCGTCAGCAAGATTCTCGGCCGATTCTACGAGACTGGCTCGATACGACCAGGTACGGTCTTGCATTTATGATATTTTAAGTGTATTGTTAGGTTGATTTAGTAAGAACTTTTAGAATTGCTGTCCAAAGCAAAGCTATTTTAAATTATACGTGTTGAAGAAACACGTAACACCCCGCGGTATTTGACAGCTAATAGGTGTCGATGGCTACCTTGAGCCCCTCAGAAATGAATGGCCCCCTCCTTCTCCTCCTCCCCTTCCCATATGCTAATCCGTTTAGCCTTCTTGGTGTTTGCCGCGCCCGCCGGAACTCAAACAAAACCTCGCGAAAATTGAGGTCATCCCGGGGATAGTATCGCCTTGCAAAGCCCTTTTCCGGCCTTGGCTTTTGCCGGAAGCGCTCGAGGGTTCGGGCTTAGAATCGTGCATTAGTGCATTTTAACTTTTCCTCCCTTGGCGGAAAACGAAAAACGCTGTGGACACCTTAAAAAGCACCCCTACGCGCTGTGGAAAGTAATGCTATGCGGTTACCCACTTCCTGAACAAAAGCCAGTATTCTTTGGGCTATGCCTAGGAATGGGTGACATTTGGGAAAGTGGTGAATGCCGCGCGTGAAAACGTTATGGGACACGGTGGCGCCGCGGGGGTGTCGGGATAACTTTTAGGGAGGTTTTCGACGGAAAGAAGGTATCTTCCAGGTGTCATCGGCGGATCGAAGCCCAAAGTGGCCACACCTCGCGTCGTCGATTGTATCACGGCCTATAAACGGAATAACCCGACAATGTTCGCCTGGGAGATCCGGGAGCGGTTATTGCAGGTTTGTCGTTTTTCCGGATTCAGCCAAACATGGGGTTCTTTTGCATTATGGGGGGTGGGTATTTTTGGAAGGATTCCTAGATTGTTTTTTTCGGATGCCTTTAAGTAGAATATTACAATTCTTTGTAAAACCAATAACCACATTTTTCAGACAAAAATCTCAAAATCTTAGACATTTTTGTAGCTGTCTAGATAGCTTTTCCACTTGTAAAAAAGCCAGATTTTACTAAAAACACTATCAAAAGAATTGCCATTGCATTATTAGAACTATCTGAACTAATAGAAAATACTAGCCCCTCGTTAATGTAAAAATACCGAAAATGGCGTTATCATTTCAGGAGCGAATTTGCGATGCGGAAAATGTGCCTTCGGTCTCGTCGATCAACCGAATAGTTCGAAATAAAGGCCCTGTTCCGATGGCCAACCATCAACAGAATGGATCACCGGGGGCACAGGTTTGAAGTGGAATTATCGATAAGTACACTTCATTCCTCAGAACATTCCACCTTCCTCAATCCAACAGCAACCCTCGTCAATTCCCCTCCAACTTCCGCCCTCGGCTTTTCACACGCCCTATTCGATCAACGGGCTGCTTGGCTTTGATAAGGTTTGTTTTTAGGGTAGCTGTTCAAGTGAATGGCGCAACGGCAACTAGCAGAGAGATTTAGGGAATTTTCACAACGGGTCGCTTACCTTTTTTTTCGGAATTTTTAAGGGAATCTAGCAAAAAACTTTAGGAATATAAAACAGAATGGCACGTTAGCAAAAAAATTTGGGAATTTGTGAATCAAGATCAAGCGATTTTTTTGAAGAGCTTAGGGCAGGCTGGCAAACACGCATGGGGTAAAATACCAGAATACCAAAGGGCAGACTAGCAGCAATATTTCGAGCAACTTTTAGTAGGCTTTTTAATTTTTAGAGGGCAAGCTAGCCGAGTCACTTTGCGGAAAATTATCTATCTGAAGGGGACGCTATTTTCAGGACTGGCTGAGCCGGGCGCAGGAGTCGCAGTTGGCGCACGAGACGGCTTGGTGCCATCTGCAGGCATTTCCGCAGAATCACCCATATTTCGTGGCGGCTCCCCATCAATCCATTCAACCCCCTCCTCCTAAGGGCGATTAAAAGTGGCTTCTAAGGACCCCGAAATTTTTTTATATTTTATTCAGCGATCTACTGTACCGGTCTTAACAAGCCCATCCAGAAATATTCTGTAAAAATCAGTTCTTAAAATTTAGATTTTAAAAAAATTATTTTTTCAGTTTTTCCAAAAAGATAAAATTAGTTTTATTTCTTTTCCTTGTTCCTCGAATCTCATCCTACAAGTCTCGATGTGGCCTTATGCATCCATAGAATCCCGAATTGTGGAAATTATGAATTATGCAAATTTTAAATAAATATCTAAACATCTAAAATACCCGCATGGCATACGGCAGTCAAATGAATTCTCTCTCGCTCTCTCTTTCTCTCTCTTTCTCTCGCCTCTCTCTCTCTCTCTCTCTCCCTTCTCCCACAAGAATTACGCCTTTTGAAAATTATGACTTCCGCGAACTTGCTAAATTTCTACCGTATCCCGCCTGGCATCCGGCACGCAATGCAATTTGTTTCCACTCTCTAATTTGCCTATCTAATACTGACAGTCCATTAGTGGTGTCTTCCTTCCCCCAGGAGACCCACGACCCGCAATCCGATTCACCCGTCTCCAAGCAGCCCCCCTTCCGCCCTTAGAATTAGGACCCATTTCTCCAAATTTCATTGCCGCCCCGATGACAGACACGATGGGGGGAAGAAGCTCGTCGAATTTTGCTTTTCTCGAAAATTTCGAAAATCCAGGGGTATCTTACAACAAATATACAATTTGTGTTAAATTCTACGTTTTTACGTACTTCTTTTAATTTTTTTTGAGCGTTCACATTTCTACTACGCTTGCCGGTTCCTTTAAAATCGAGAGTATTCCTTGGGCGGCAATGGCCCACCTTGAATGGCGTGCCCCCTGGGAAATGAAGTTGAGTGCTTTTAGGGGGGTTTTGGGGTGGTAGAGTTGAGGAGACAAATGAATTGCCAGCTCTGGGCAGGAAAGGGAAACAAGGGCTCTTCACTAAAGCACCAAAATAGAGTAAGAATTTAGTTGGTTAAAATCCGAAAAATACCGGGGTCGAGAGGTAGCGCAGTCGGTAGGTGGATGGTTACTAATTTGGGGATCATCGGTTCGATTCTGGTCGCTATTTTTTGCTGTTTCGATGTTTCTGCCTAAACGGTCTT